TCACTCTCTCTTCGCTCTCTCTCTCTTCGCTCTCTCTCTCTTCGCTCTCTCTCTCTTCGCTCTCTCTCTCTTCGCTCTCTCTTCGCTCTCTCTCTCTTCGCTCTCTCTCTCTTCGCTCTCTTTGCTCTCTCTCTGCTCTCTCTCATTTAATCATTGATCCGTTCCGAGCACTCTGGACACTAGAAGTCTCTCTGCAGTTGGCCGGTCTGTCCCCTGATCATGGATCAGGAGAGTCCAGCTCATTTATCCTGGAGGGTAATTCTCAATCTGGTCTGCGCCCCCCCAGCACCTGCCCCCTCTACATTAACCCTGCGCTGCTCTGATAGCAGTGGGGGGAGGACTGTCTGCTTGTAAACTGGAGACTGCATTGCACCTGCAGTATATGTGGTGACGGAAGGGGGTGTGTGCCGTAAAAGCTGGCTGCGGCAAGCCACTTATTCCAAGAGCTTGTGTGTGAGCTGCTGCATCTCTCCTCCCTCCCTCCATCCTTCCCTCCCTCCATCCTTCCCTCCATCCTCGCTGTACCAGCCCGCCGTTCTCCGCCACTGGGTGCTCATTAGCTTTCCAGCATGCAGCGCAGCGGTATTGGCACTGCAGCAATTCTCACCCCCCCATACATGGGAGACACCGGACTGACCCCACTCCTGTCACGGCAATTTAAGGTGGACCTGTCAGTAGCTATACATTCCTGATGTGTAACAATGGGGAGCGACAATATCATTTTTCAGCACTTCCTCAGTCTCCCCTCCCCCAGGGATCGGTCTGCTGCAGGCAGGAGGAAGCATTTCCGCCAGTCTCCCCTCCCCCAGGGATCAGTCTGCTGCAGGCAGGAGGAAGCATTTCCCCAGTCTCCCTTCCCCCAGGGATCAGTCTGCTGCAGGCAGGAGGAAGCATTTCCTCAGTCCTCCATCCCCCCCCCAGGGATCAGTCTGCAAGACAAGAAATTGATTTTATGTATTTGGATCCCTTTAATTTCCCCTACAAGGAGCACTGGGCCGGCGGCGGGTCCCGCATGTTGGAGGCGGTGCCGGTAAATTGACGGAACTCCTTACTGCAGGAAAAACGTTGACTGGTCCAAAGTCCTCGCTCAGCGTAATTCGGCGTCCGGAAAGTCAAATATTGATTCGTCTGTTTTCTGACCATTAGGAGATTAACAGAGACAAAAAAAAAAATGGCCGACGAATCTGCGCGGGACGGCGAGGAACATAAGTGTTCAGATCAACGATGAGGAATTATTATGGGGGGGGGGGAGACATTGTACAGATACCGGTCATGTGACCTCAATACGCTTCTTATCTGTGTCATCGCCATTGTCTGTTATTCATAGAGCGCCATCATATACTGTAGCGCTTACAACAGGGTATCGTATCAAAATGCCTTGATGGCTGGTGGGAGGGGCCGGCAGGCAGATCATGGCTGGTGGGAGGGGCCAGCAGGCAGATCATGGCTGGTGGGAGGGGCCAGCAGGGTGTTGTACATAGCTTCCTAAAAACATCACAGCACGCTGTCTCAGTTCTTGTCTCAAGAGCCCTGATACAAGCAGTGGGCGGGCTCATGGGCGGAGTTATGCAAATCTCAAAATGCCTTGATGGGTGGATGTAAGTCAGGAGGAGCGGGGGCGTTTCTACGCATGCTGAATTTGCATACAGACCAATCTAGGCAACCTGTGACGCCGAGGCTCCTTAATTAAAAGAACTGAAATCCAATGAGAGAAAGGGGTGGCGCCAGTCAGGCTGGGGAGGAAAGAGCTAGATGAAGTAAGGCGGGCTCGATCTGTCTTGCTGCAGATTCTAATGTACATTGTGAGAAGCTCCCAGTGTGCGGTGATATCACAGGAGAGGAGGCGGGACATCTGTGGAGGCCGGAGTTCTGTAATCGATGGTGTAAGACGATCGGACGCGGCGGGGTCACGTTAGGTGCGGAGCTTTCCCCCGAGCAGATCCTGAAATGAGATCCCGGGATGTCCTGGAGCTGCCTGCAGTCTTCCAGTTGCTGATTCGGCAGCGGTGAGGTTTTCCCCTCCAGGCACTGGGGGGATCATCTCTTGTATTTCACTGACTCAGTGCTGCCCCCTCATGGCGGCCGGGCGGTATTACCTCGTCATGTTGCAGCGCATCAATATTTCATTCAGCCAACCTCAGAAATCAAATGTATCATTTTCACCACAAAGGTTTATTCTCAGCAGCTGCATGGAGTCAGCTCTCTGTGTCTGCAATCGTCCTGTAAGGTCGGGGTGGTATT